TCTGACATTCCAACCATTGAGGCCACTGCTCATCCTGACTCCACAAAATTTAAAATACGAGAGGTTACTAATCTACTTGATGGCTCTTCTACTCAAGTATCTGATTCCAGTCATTCTGTGACTCCTGTTCAATCCCCAACGAAAGAAACGAGAAGGTCTAAGAGGAAGAATGTTCCTGTAAAAGTTATTGCGGAGACAGGTGGTGACAATGCTGACACAGATCAGCTTGAGAAGAAAAGGAAGTCTAGTGAAACAGTCAAATCTGAATCTAATCCACCTATCCAACAAGTTTTCAAGACTCTACGATCCTCTGTTAAGCAAAAGGGTTCTGTTGCTACTCAACCACATGTTGTCCTCGCATCTTCCACCAGAAAAGTGAAACCTGCTACCCGTGCCAGAGGTCGGAGCATTACACCTGAGGTTCAAGCTGCTGAAAGCTCTGACACATCCATTTACAGACCTCAATTTGTTTCTCCTTCTGCTCAAGCCAAGTGGTCCACAATGGTCCGAAGAGAACTGATTATTCAAAGATCGGTTGATGAAAAACAGATGAACTCCGTCTGTGATGTTCTGTCCTTGCTGAGAGAAGTGGGTCTTCTGAAGACTGTCACTGCCATCTGTCCTTACTCAAAGCTGCTCACCTACGAATTTTACTGTAATCTTAATGAGGAGATGGACAATTTGTCTGGAGAGCATCCACTGCAGATTTTCATTCGAGGGGAATGGTATGTGTTTGGCCCTGACAAGATTAACAAATACTATAGCCTGCAAGGAGTCCAAGAGGGAGCTATTACTGACTGGGATGCAGTGGCCAAAACAGTCACAGGTGGACAAGCTGACAGATGGCCTACTGGTGACAAGGATACTCTACCTAGCTCTCAGCTCACCTCCAAATATGTGATTCTTCATCGTCTTGCTCTGCATAACTGGCTCCCTTCGGCACATTTCCACACTGTCGGCAAGCCACTGGCCAGTCTCTTATTCAGAATTGGAACCAAGATGCCCTTTGATCTTGGGTCGTGGATCTATTCTCATATTCTCACTCTGATTCACCCGAGGGAACAAAAGGTACGACTGCCCTTTCCTAATTTGATCTTTGGAATTCTTACATCACAGGGCCTTGAGCCTATGACGAGTGAGGTAATCAGTCCGACCCTTCTCTACACGGTGGACCGGCGTCTGTTGATTGGAGAACATATATGTGATGTTATGCCGGTGACTGCACCCTCCAATCCTGAGACTGATACAGTGGAGGACATCTCGCCGCATGCACGAGATCTTCAACTCTCTATCCAATTGAAGGCAAGAGTCTCTGAACTCGAGACAGTTCATGGCATAATCGCTAAATAGCTGACAGGGGCTCATACAGAATTAGCCACTGTTCTTCTTTGTTTAAGCCTGACTGAGGTCTCTGCTGCTGCTCCTGTGAAGTCTAACAGTGAGACTCCCTCCAACGCTTGACCTGGCTTTGGCTCTCTTTTGGCAAAAAGGGGGAGTATGAACTCAGGGGAGTTGTGTGTTTTTGTGTACCTTCTGGCCCTGGCTGGGCGATTGTTTGTGATGGCACCTCCTTTTGAAGAATGTTTTTCTTGACTTTGTTTTGATCCAGCATGACATGTATGCTGTGTTTTTATTTCTGCAATGTAATCAAATGTTGGGTGGTATTATGTTAGCCTATCTTAGTTATCTCAGTTCTTATGTCTTTCTATATAGTCGAGTTGTTTTGCCAAATAATAGCCAATGGGGGAGTTTGTTAGTGTTTTAATTGTTTAAAAACCCCAACTTATAATTGGCAATATTATTATGGCATACTAAGATAGGATTAGTTCAGTGTCTGTTTTGTTCCTCAATGGACTGATTAATCAGATTCAACAACAGAAGGACTGACACTGAAGATCTGTTGTAGGAAGTTATTTTCCTAAATGCTGTACGCAGTTTTACAGAAGTCAGATTTGGAAAGAAGATCAGCGTATCTGCTTTGGAAAGGTATGGACCAAATCCTTAAGATTACATTCTTCAAATATCGTCCTACCATCTACAATCAAAGACATCTATGGAAGGAGTGTTCTTTTGACGGAACTATAAGTATCCTCATTTGAAGCGAATGAGGGTTACGCCTTTGAGAAAGAAGAAAACACTTCACATCAGTTTGATGAGATCAGATCTTTGATAATCATGCCTCTTCTCAATACAACATGTTCATGGTGATTAAGATGACGAACTTGAGAAGAATCACTACTGCTTAAACGAAAGGACACTGTGATCACACTGTTGTGGGAGCAACTGTAAATAGCATCATTGAAGTGGACTGCATCAGAGTGGGCTCTCCAAGTGAAGGGATTTCATTGGACTTCTGTATGCATAGCTCTCCATCTTCAACAATCCACTAAACCTGTGTAGACTGGGTATGTACCTTGTGTGGGGCACTTGGGTAAGATTTTTGTATATCTACCTTTGTACATCGGATTATGATTTAGTGGATTGGACGCCTATGTGATCGTCCCCCAGACGTAGATACACACTGTATCGAACTGGGTAAACATTATGTGTTGTTGGCTTTGTAGTGTTATCTTTTCTTTAATCTTCACTGTGATTAGTTATTACTGATTGAATTCATCGCTGAATCAGTCAGTCTATTTAGTCAGTTGATTAATCCAGTTAATCTGTTTAAAAAGAGAAAATGTAAAATTACACAAATAACAAAATGTAGGTTACCTCATGAGTTTGACCGAACATTCAAAATAGTTCTTATAATCAAATAGCCCGATGTAGCAAAAATCATTTCTATAAAAATCACATAACAAAGTACATAATTTATTGTACAGAGTTTTTCAAGTCACATATTTTCTCAATATACATAATATTTCCAATTATGGATAATAAATTTATCAAACTAAGAATTATGCAAGGTATAAACCCTTCCCAAAATAATAATTTTCTTAGTACATAACTCTTTAAACAAATCGTGGAATAGTTTATTAAACCAAAATAGTTTCAAAAGAGTTGAAGTGGTTTAATTGTAAAGAATTTAAGTTAAGGGTTAAAGTGTTACTCTAAACATAGTAGAAATCATTTTACAAATCTAATATGTACATATGCAATATAACCATACAAATTGCTGAGAGGTGGAATTGAACCCACATCCACCTATTTACACAACAACAGTCCTACCAACCCACCATCTCTACACACAATTGAACCCACATCCACCTATGTCTATGGATATGAATTGTGTGTTGGATATGCTAAGGAACCACTTCACGCTGCCGGTATCACGCATGCCGCCTCGTATAAATAAAAGGGTCAAATCTTTTTGCACACAACATCAACGTCTTCTGTATCATAAACAATATTACTATTATGAGCAAGAGAGTGGCGATGAACAAGAAAGCAAGAATGAACAAGAAGCTGGTGATGAACAGGAGAGCAAGCATAAAGAAAGGAGGAATATGTTGTATGAAGCAGAAAGTTTAATCAGGTAAGAATTGAGAGCCCCCTCCTCTTATCTCTATAAATACATGAAACAACGGAAACAGGCTCGACACAGGATTCGTCAGATCTTAACTCTAGGAAATAAGCTCACAACTTACATCAACAAAGAGTTGTTGAAGGTTAGGAATGCATACCACCAATCTAAAAACTCACAAAACAACAATCATATTTCTCCTACAAGGCCTGATTCGCTGCAACAGCAAGCTTCAAAGTCTACAATCAAAATGGTTGGCTGCGATGATGAGTTCAACACAATAATGGACAACCTGAACCAGCGATCCTCGAAACGAGAAATTTTCTCAATTGTGGGAATGGGCTGCATCAGTAAAACTACCTTAGCTAAAAAAATTTATGAAGATGCTTCATTCATTTCTCGTTTTGATTGTCAAGCTTGGGTTACTATCTCACAGGAGTATAATCCGGGACAAGTGTTCCAAAGCTTACTTCATTCTCTTGCCCCAGCAGGGGTCTATGAAAATAGTGATGAATTGGCTGAGCTAGTATACAAATGTCTCAAGGGTCGAAGGTATTTGATTGTAATAGATTACATATGTGTGAGATCTAAGATTAATCTACGAGAAACTTAACTCGTAGTAGCGGAAGCGGAAGCACGGTAGATCTCCAGCCATGGTTGATATCCTGTTGTGTAGCCACGTGAACGGTAGATCTGCGGAATAGGGTTAGCCGTTTTGTCTCATACTTGACTCAGAACCCTAGATGGTGTACTGGTATTTTCTGAGCAGTATGAGTACCATAACTTTATGCTATATAATGAATATGTCATGTATCCCATCAATACAGGGTTTATATAGGCATATGGTGGAATACAGACTTAACCTAATGTCCAGTCCAACCAATTACTTAATGGGCCTAGTCCACTTGCACCACATAAGTAAGACCCATAATATATAATATATATTATACAGGAAAGTCTTACAGTCTCCCACTTGGTGCAAGTAATAGCACAATTCTCATCAAAGAACAAAACCCACGAATCATAGTAATATGTCTTCTACTGAATAAGTGAGTAATATCTCCTATGATCACATGCATTTTGATTACCCAACTTGAATCATTTATGAACAAACCTTATGTTTATTCCTGGTACCTTAAATGGATATTTCTCAAAATAAAATATATATATATATATATATATATGCGCAACTAAAGAGAGAAAATCATCCAAATTGTACAATAGAGTACACTGTATGATCTCCAAGATCCTTAAAAGCATGCCTTAAGTAGAGATCTTTTAATGTTAGCATAAAGCTAACTATATTCAATGACTTCTTTATAAGTTAACTTTAAGCACTACCTCTAACGGCTAAGAGCTTGGAGTTGACACGTCTGTCACTCCCACTCATCAAAATAGCCAAAAGATAGTCAAGTTATAGAAGCATTCCAATAACTTAGACAATAAATCAAAACTCTAAGTCCATAAATTTGGAATGTTAAACATACACCATAACCTCCCAAATAATCTCAAGGTCCAAATAATTTCAAATTGAGGAAAATGCAGAAGAAATAGCAGTTTTAGAGACACTTGATGCAGGGAAACTGTTTAGTGAAGGGAAGTATAAAAATGCACCGGCAGCAGCGGGGACTTTTCGTTACTACGCTAGTGCAGCAGACAAAATCCACGGCACCACTCTCAAGATGTCGCGTGACCTCCAAGGATACACATTGCGAGAGCCCATAGGTGTGGTCGGACTCATAATTCCGTGGAATTTTCCAGGACAAATGTTTGCGTTTAAGGTTGCCCCTGCATTAGCAGCTGGTTGTACTGTGGTTGTCAAGCCTGCTGAACAGACTCCCCTTTCTGCTCTCTTTTTTGCTCATTTAGCCAAGCTGGTAAGCTTAGCTTGATTGTAATTTGTAATTTCCTTTCTTGATGTTTTCGATCTTTTTTACCCTTAGCTTGTTATATGGAGTAATTAAAGACTGTTTTAATTTTCTCAATTTACAAACAGGCGGGAGTCCCTGATGGAGTGGTGAATGTGATTACAGGATTTAGACCAACTGCTGGTGCTGCCATTAGCTCTCACATGGACATTGATAAGGTAATCTGATCTTCCTTAATTAATATATATGCATTAAATATATTCCCACATTCAATTTAACCATAATTAAATTTTTGTTTCATTTCCTGGATGTTCAGGTTAGTTTTACAGGGTCGACAGAAGTGGGGCGTCTGATAATGCAGGCTGCAGCAACTAGCAATCGAAAACCTGTGTCACTTGAGCTGGGAGGCAAGTCTCCTTTCATAGTGTTTGATGATGTAGACGTTGATAAGGTTTCGGATCTGGCTTTAGCTGGAGTCACATATAATAAGGTAAAGTAGTCATTAATTTGGAGGATCTATCCTTAATTTCCCGAAATCATAGGATAGTGATATTGGTCGGGGTTTTGAATTGGCAGGGAGAAGTATGTGCGGCTGGGTCTCGTGTGTTCGTCCAGGAAGGAATTTATGACAAGTTTGTTGAGAAGGTGGTAGCCAAGGCAAAAGCCAGGGTGATTGGCGACCCTTTTGATCCTAATGTTCAACAGGGACCCCAAGTATGAATTTATTGCTTCAAACAATTAAGCCAGCCCTTTACGTACACCCATAAATATACATATATACGTACCAATATGCATGCTGAAACATATATACATACAAGTCTACTACTACTTATTGATTATATATGCAATGCAAGCTGACATAAATCAGTATGAGAAGATACTTCCATATATTGAACATGGAAAGAGGGAGGGTGCTACGTTGCTAACTGGTGGTAAGTCACTGGACAGAAAAGGATATTTCATTGAGCCAACTATATCAGGAGTCTCCGATGGATGACAAGTGGAGTCCATCCGTTCACTCCAAAATCTGTTAGAAGCAGTTAGAAGCAGTCTGTTAGAAGCAGTTCCTTTTTCCCTCTTTTTTCTTAGCTTTGCATGACTGTGCATATAAAACTCTTGTACTAAGCCTTCTTGCCAAGTAATGAGAATAATCCTTTTGTCTCCATTTCAGTCGATACTCCCTTCTTCTCTGAATCATCACATGGTATCAGAGCTTCGAATGAAGTAATCTACGAAGCACTTTCCCACAATGGAAGCGTGGCTTCCCGTCGGCAATCGATCGGCTCCGGTCAGTAATCCGGCAACTGCTGCGGCAAACGCTGCCAACCCCAATCCCGCTCAGGAAGTTCCCGCTGCTATTGGAGAGGTGAATTTCAACCCCGATCTTCAATCCAATCCCTATTTCTTGCACGCAAACGAAAATCCAGCGCTGGTGCTCGTGTCTACCCCGATGGATGGCTCGAACTACCATCCCTGGGCTCGAGCAATGACAATGGCTCTATCCTGTAAAAACAAACTTGCGTTTGTCAATGGAACCATCACCAAGCCTGCAATAGGCGATCGAAAGTATGATGTCTGGGAACGTTGCAACAACACAGTGGTATCATGGATTGTCCGATCGTTGTCCCCGACTATTGGCCGAAGTGTGCTTTGGATAGACACGGCGTATGGAATCTGGAATGACTTGAAACGACGATTCAGTCAACAAGACCTATTCCGGATTGCGGAGATTAAATGTGAAATTTATCGAACGAAACAGGAAGAAGGCTCTCTGAATGAATATTTCACGAAACATAAACTGTTATGGGATGAGTTAATGATCCTCAGGCCTACCATGCTGTGCGGATGCAATCCAAAATGTCAATGTGGAAAAAGAATTGACGAGATGAATGAACAGGCAGAGAAGGATAAACTCTCTGTTTTTCTGATCGGGTTGCATGATAGGTACACTGGAGCTAGAAACCAGATCATGCTCATGAAACCCTTGCCTGATGTGTGTGAAGCATATTCGATGATAGCACAACAAGAAAGGCAATTTTAGATGAACACTACTGGTTTTGGAAGCCAGCTTCATCAAGCAGGAGAAAATGGAAGCAGTAGCAGTGTGTTTTTAGCCAATGCTGACAGTGGAAATCACCAGAATTATAAGAGATTTCCTTCAGGCAACAAGAGGCCAGTATGCACATATTGTGGCTATACTGGACATACACAGGATAAATGTTACAAGAAGTATGGTTATCCCCCTGGTTGGAAGCCAAGGGCAAAGAATCAAGGATCGGTCAATTTAACTCAAACAGAAAATCAGAATCCAAATGCAGCCAGTTTGTTTACTCAAACAGACTTCAAGAATTTTTTGGAGTTCATGCAACTACAGAAGACTTCTGGGGGAAATTCAAACACCCTCACTAATCAGCCCCTAGCCAACACCATATCTGCAATCTCAGTGCCAGCCACCCAATTAGAAGGTATGAATCCTTCTCTGATTTCTGTGGTTCATAACATGAATAACTAGATATTGGATAGTGGTGCTACTCACCATATTGTGTGTGATGAAAAATTGCTGAGAAATCACAAAGAAGTTCAGAATATGCATGTTGGCTTGCCTAATGGTCTGCAGGTTGCCATCACATACACTGGATCTGCGCATTTATCTGATGATGTTGTCTTACATAATGTTCTTTATGTTCCTGGATTCTGTTACAACTTAATCTCTATTGGTGCTCTTATTCAAGGCTCAAATTGTACCATGAGATTGCACACTGATGAATGCATTATACAGGATGCCCATGGCAAGAAGATTGGAGCAGCTGAGCTCAAAAATGGATTGTACCATTTGGTCTTTCCTACTGTTTTCCCTTCTATTTGCAATTTAGTTCCCACTGTGAACAAATGTACTCTATGGCATGCTAGACTAGGGCATGCTTCATACACCAAAATCCAATGTTTGCATAAACTTGATCCCATTATACAAATGAATAAAGATCTAGTTTGTGATTGTTGTCATCTTGCCAAGCAGAAAAGGTTTCCTTTTCAATCAAGTTTATCTAATTCAGTTGCTTGTTTTGAATTGTTGCATATGGATATTTGGGGGCCTTACAAGGTTGCAACTCCTCATGGCCATCATTACTTCTTAACCATACTAGATGACCATAGCAGATCAGTATGGGTTCACTTAATGAAGAGGAAATCTGAGGTCAGAAACTTGGTCACATCCTTCTGTAACTTAGTCAAGAACCAGTTTGACACAAAAGTGAAATGTATAAGGACAGACAATGGGCTAGAGTTTGATATGATTGATTTCTTTAATAAAGAAGGGATAGTGCATCAAACCTCTTGTACTTACACTCCCCAGCAAAACAGCAGGGTGGAAAGAAAGCATGGCCACCTTCTATGCACAGCAAGAGCCCTCAGATTCCAAGCTGGTCTACCAGAACAGTTCTGGGGAGAGTGCATATTACATGCAGCCTACATCATCAATAGGCTACCCTCGGCTGCCATCAATAATCAAGTTCCTTATCAGCTTCTCCTCCACAAAAGTCCTCAATATCAGCATCTAAGGGTCTTTGGATGTCTAGCATATGCCACTACAGTGGGTCCTAAATCAAAATTTGACCCCAGAGCCAAGAAATGTGTCTTTATTGGATATGCTAATGGAGTCAAAGGGTATAAGCTCTATGATCTACAAGACAGAAGTTTTTTTATCTCCAAGGATGTAGTGTTTTATGAACATGTGTTTCCCTTACAACACTTGGATAAACCTGAACAGGAATTCAATCAAGTTATATTACCTGTTCTGGATGGTGCCCCAGAAGAAGATGCAATGGTTGACACCATGGTGGTTCCACAACCCCCTATCCCAGACAATTCAGTTCTTGAAGGTCCTGAGCTGACAACTGAATCAAATGAGGGTGATTACCCTCCTGATGACATTACCATTGAGGAGACAACTGAGGCATATAGTCCTCCATCTGAACAGCCAGTTGTTAGGAAGTCCATCAGACACAAGCAGGCCCCCACCTATCTAAGGGACTATGTGTGCCACAGTTCTATAGTCAGGACCTCTCCACACAGTCTGCACAAGGTTATAAGCTATGATATGCTTTCACCTTCATTTCAATCTTTTGTAATGAATATCACTTGCACTACTGAGCCAAGGAGTTACAATGAGGCAATGGAACATGAATGTTGGAGGAAAGCCATGCATGATGAGATCTCTGCTCTTGAAAATAACAACACATGGACAATTGTTGATCTGCACCCCTCAAAGAAATCTATAGGCTGCAAATGGGTGTATAAGGTCAAGCATAAACCAGATGGTAGCATTGACAGATATAAAGCTAGACTAGTGGCTAAGGGCTACACACAAACACGTGGGGTGGATTACCTTGATACCTTTAGTCCAGTGGCCAAGGTTACTACAATCAGAACCTTTCTTGCCATTGCAGCAGCTAAGGATTGGCACCTGCACCAAATGGATGTCAACAATGCATTCCTCCACGGAGAATTAGATGAGGAGGTTTATATGCAGGTTCCACTTGGTTTTGAGAAAAGGGATAAGGGCAAGGTGTGCAGACTAAACAAGTCTTTATATGGACTCAAACAGGCCAGCAGACAATGGAACACTAAGTTGAATTCAGCTCTGCAATCCATGGGGTTTAAGCAGTCCTTACCTGACAATTCTTTATTTGTTAAGGGAGAAGGAAGGTCTTTTGTGGCACTATTAGTATATGTAGATGATATAATAGTGGGCAGTGCAGATCTGAATCTGATACAACATATCAAAATGCAATTGAATGACACTTTTCAGATAAAAGACCTTGGACCCTTAAAATACTTCCTAGGTTTGGAAGTAGCTAGGCAGAGAAAAGGGATTGCTATATCCCAAAGGAAATATGCCCTTGAGTTATTAACTGATACAGGTTTTGAGAATGCCAAACCAGTTCAGAGTCCTACTTCTCCATCACACAAGCTCAGCAAGGGTGAAGGTACTTTGTTGGATGATAACACTCATTACAGAAGAATAGTTGGGAAACTCCTATACTTAACTATCACCAGACCCGACATAAGCTTTGCTACACAACAACTCTCTCAGTTCTTGGATACTCCCACTGACTTACATCTACAAGCAGCCTACAGAGTCCTAAGATATATCAAAGGGGCACCTGGCCAAGGACTTTTTTTCCCAGCCTCATCCAGTTTGCAGTTATCAGCCTTTTCAGACTCAGACTGGGGAGCTTGTGTGGATACTAGGAGATCCATCACTGGCTTCTGTGTATTTCTAGGAGGTGCTTTGGTGTCCTGGAAATCTAAGAAGCAAGTTACAGTTTCAAAATCATCATCAGAGGCTGAATATAGAGCCCTAGCAGCCACCACTTGTGAAATACAATGGTTGCTTTATCTGCTGAACGAATTTGGATTGCATGTTGATATTCCTACAGCTCTTTATTGTGACAGTAAGTCAGCAATAGCAATTGCTGAGAACCCCGTGTTTCATGAACGCACCAAGCATATTGAATTGGACTGCCACTTGGTTAGAGAAAAACTACAAAAAGGCACCATCAAACTTCTTCATGTGACTTCTGCAAATCAGCTGGCTGATGTATTCACTAAAGCTCACTGCCCGAGCTCCTTCAATGCCTACGTGTCCAAGCTTGGATTGTTCAATCTATACAATCCAGCTTGCGGGGGGCTATCAGGAGTCTCCGATGGATGACAAGTGGAGTCCATCCGTTCACTCCAAAATCTGTTAGAAGCAGTTAGAAGCAGTCTGTTAGAAGCAGTTCCTTTTTCCCTCTTTTTTCTTAGCTTTGCATGACTGTGCATATAAAACTCTTGTACTAAGCCTTCTTGCCAAGTAATGAGAATAATCCTTTTGTCTCCATTTCAGTCGATACTCCCTTCTTCTCTGAATCATCACAAACTATATTTACAGATGTCACGGTAATTAAGTATCTTCTATTCTATAATTATTTAGTCATAAAAAGATGGATACACTACTACACAGCAGGCTTTTAACGTCGGCTAAATAGAGCTTTTAACGTCGGCTATGTATCGTAGTTGTTGCGGGCGTCGTTGTAAATATTATTTATAACGTCGGCTATATAAATAGCCGACGTTATATCTTATTTAAAAAATAAATAAATAAATACTTACAACGTCGGCTAAAAGTTAATAGCCGACGTTGTAGGTATTTTAATTTTTTATAAAATACCTACAACGTCGGCTATTAGCATATAGCCGACGTTGTAAAGTATTTAAAAAAAAATTAAAATACTTACAACGTCGGCTAAATGCTAAGAGCCGACGTTGTAGGTAGTTTAATTTTTTATAAAATACCTACAACGTCGGCTATTAGCATTTAGCCGACGTTGAAAGTATTTTAATTTTTTTTAAAATACTATACAACGTCGGCTAAGTGCAAATAGCCGACGTTGTAAACTTTATTTATTTATTTTTTAAATGTATTCAACGTCGGCTATTACTTAATAGCCGACGTTGTATGTTTTTTTTTTTTTAATATACAGTTTATTTGTCCATTTATACCCAAAAACCTGCTCAAATCTACTCACAACCACAACCATAACGTAAACCTGCTCAATTTCTCACAACCACAACCAAAACCTGTTCAATTATTGCACCACAACCACAGCAAAATATGTAGAATCTAATATTTATAATGAAACAAGTAATAAAAGTAATAAATCTCACAATTTGATACTAATTAATAATACAAGTTAACATTATCGAAAGCTAATATCAATTTGTTCAATTTACATACTTAACCATACATCAACAAAGAAAAAGAAGTCGGCCCATACATCTCTTACTTGATCAATTTCTTGTTGAGTGTAGATCGATCTACCAACTCTCTCAACAATCTACAAAGTTGATAATTATTAAATAATTAGTAAGCTAGCATTTTTAAAATTAGAAAGAGAAAGGTATTATATTAAATTACATGCCTTATCCATTCCCGTGCATGCTTCTTTGGAAAGAATTTCAAGCATTTATTTCATCACATAATATCCACATGCCGTACTT